CTGGAGCTTAACGCTGATAAAGCTGCGAAATGAAAAATAATAATCTTGTTATTTCTCTCTTACCTTCCGGCTTGTTTTCGGCAGCCATTTCCCCTCCGCGCGCCACATCCTCCTCCTCCTCCTCCTAGCGACCGGGGGGGTACCACGCGCGTTCACGGCGAGGACGCGGCTAGAGGAGGGGGCGAGAGGCGGGAGGCGCGTGCGTGAATACGCGTTAGCTATTGGCCGCAAAGTGCCATAAATGACAATGGTGTTTTCGGTGATGCTTCGTGAATTTGCGAAATCCATATCCCCCTTTTATCCATCTCTTCCACGCCATTGGTGAATCGGTTTTATTTAGGAGACACCTTTACAATGCAGCGACCAATAAGGTTTTTGGATCGGATTTAGTGGAAGCCTGTAATATGCATATATGAAAAGCAGAATCTGTGGATTATATTTAAGTCTATGCGACGAATGTTTATGAATGCATGCTTGACAGACATCCGTTCTGCCCACCGGGACCGTAAAACACTATTTTATAACACTGCTAATCGAGATACGTGTCCAGCAGTCTAAGTGCTAATAACATGCCCCACTGTGTCATATAATTAGATGTTAACAGCCATGTTAGAGTCGTTAATCTGCCACTCGTGCTGAAGATGATTGTGAAACCAGAATGGCATGGGCTTAAGCATGATGACGGTTTTGCACTAAAATGTTATTGTGTTGCAAGGCAGCAGTGATGCAACAGAATTAAAAAAAAAAAGAAAGAAAGAAAGAAAAGAAAAAAGAAACACCTGGAGGCTCCAGTCTCGGTCATGAGTTCTTGAGCGCTGTCCACTCGTGGGTGCTGAAGGAGATGGTGCTGAAAGAACAGCTCCACCACAAACAGACTGAGCATTATATGTGTCGGTCTGCCGCTTTCCCAAATCAAGCCAAATCACGAGTGTTTACGCACAACAACACAGCACGTAGTGATGACTGCGAATGTTATTTGAACAACAGAATCTTAAAAATAAGAAAAAAAAATACATACAATTATTATGCATGCAGTAGGCCTATTATTATAATTTTGAGACACTGTATAGATTAAAAAAGTCATATGCTACAAACATTTGAAATTACGTCAAAATGTGGTTAACAACGGTGACAAATGGTGACCTAAAGTATAAATTCCCTTTAAACTTCTTCTAAAATTGATTAAACATGTTCGTGGAAATAAATAGTATATACAGGAACATAGGGCTGGACAATAATTCAATATCAATATGTATCGCGATATAATTTTTTTCAATAACGGTGATATGATTTTTAAATACATTTCCGATATTTCGATATACATTAGGGGGTATTGATTTGTACAGCTCAATAGCACCACCCTGTGGCTGTTTTAGACCAAAACGTCCTTGACTGCCTTGATTTAGAATAAAAAAAAATAGTTGAATAAATAATTAAATGTTGACAAACTCGTGGTTGTTATTTTAAGCTATTCAAGACCTAATTTTCCAACATTAATGAACAATCAGCATTTTCTACCCAGGATGCTATAGAATCAAACTAATGTCTGACAATTCATCTGGTCCCTATAAAAATTACGTTTTCCAAAATGGATCAAAGTAAACAGGAATTTTGAAGGCAAGGGAGCGTCTTGTGAATCTTAAATGTGATCTGAATTATTTACGTCTTCCGTCAAATTCGTTATATTAAATTTTTAAAAATACATACATTTTAGTCTGAAGGAATTTCCTTAAGACGTAAGGTAAACATCAAAAGCATCCTCAAAGAATGATCTACATGGCGCGCTCCGTTGATGTAAAGAAAGTGAACTTTAAATTACGACCATATAAATAGAAAAATTAAGTTGTAATTACATACAAATCAAATTCTAGCGAATAGCGAGAGCATGAACTTGATTTTAGTTGCCGAGCATCGCTTTAGCAAAGAGGAGAGACTTACCTTTCATTTTGCTGCCTCATTAAAATTCCGCTTCAGTTTTCCCAGCGTCCTTTCCAATCCAGTTTAAAAAATATGTTATCATCTAAGAAAATAACTGCTGACAGCTTCAAAACAGCAGCGGCCAAACAGTCACAGTTCTGGGAAAATATTTCACACAAGACTAAAGCATATAGAGCAGCTGTCGGTGGGTTCAGTCACTGTAAGGGGGGTTCTGGTGGGGGTGGAAAGAAATCAATCACGTTTTAGAGCATCACCATAAATCTGCATTTATCGCTTTCGGAGTTAAAAGCGTCGCCCTGTTCAATGCGAAAGAAAAATGAAGTAGTTGACAGCGTTTGACTTCACGGAGCTCGCTTGTTTGTCAGCCCAAAGGGAACGTGGATGTGGTGTGGTGGAATCCCACTCTAAACCAAACGCGAGTCATTTCACGCGTTCATTTCGTCTGCTGAGCTCATGTGCTCGTCTCAGTTACAAGAAAAAAAACATGTTTCTCTTCATCTAACGAAGGCTGTGGTTCGGCTTGACTTGGATGCGTGTGACTTTGAAAAATCTCTGTGCTTTGAGATGAAACGAGTCGCGTAATGAACGTAACCCGTGATTACCTAACTCCGTTCCCGTTATTTTAATAGCCGTCTCAGAGATGGCTAATCCCATCAGCGCTTCAGCTTTTTTGCCATTTCGTGACAAACACAAGCTGAGCGAAAATGTCACTGACTTTCTCCGCCGCGCATCCCTATCCCGACCTTCATCATCTGGAGCTTAACGCTGATAAAGCTGCGAAATGAAAAATAATAATCTTGTTATTTCTCTCTTACCTTCCGGCTTGTTTTCGGCAGCCATTTCCCCTCCGCGCGCCACATCCTCCTCCTCCTCCTCCTAGCGACCGGGGGGGTACCACGCGCGTTCACGGCGAGGACGCGGCTAGAGGAGGGGGCGAGAGGCGGGAGGCGCGTGCGTGAATACGCGTTAGCTATTGGCCGCAAAGTGCCATAAATGACAATGGTGTTTTCGGTGATGCTTCATGAATTTGCGAAATCCATATCCTCCTTTTATCCATCTCTTCCACGCCATTGGTGAATCGGTTTTATTCAGGAGACACCTTTACAATGCAGCGACCGATAAGGTTTTTTTTTTAATCATATTTAGGGGAAAACCTTAGGACTGTAATATACATATATGAAAAGCAGAATATGCGGATTATATTTAAATCTAAAGGACGAACATTTATGAATTCATGCTTGGCAGACACCCATATCCGTTCTGCCCACCGAGCGCCGTGACAGTAAAAAACTATTTTATAACACTGTTAATCGAGATACGTGTCCAGCAGTCTAAGTACTAATAACATACCCCACTGTGTCATATAATTATATGCTAACAGTCATGTTAGAGTCGTTAATCTGCCACTCGTGCTGAAGATGATTGTGAAACCACTTAAGCATAGAGACGATGACGGTTTTCCTCTGAAAGGTAAGTGTCGCAAGACAGCAGAGACACAACAGAATAATAATAATAAAAAAAAATAAAAAAATAAAATAAAAACATCTGGAAAAGATGTTTCAGGTCGTGCGTGGAGGCTCCAGACTCGTTCTTGAGCGCTGTCCACTCGTGGGTGCTGAAGGAGATGGTGCTGAAAGAACAGCTCCACTCATCGACCACAAACAGCATTATAAGAGTCGGTCTGCCGTTTTCCCAAATAAAGTCAAATCACGCACAACAACACAACATGGAGTTACACTGCGAATGTTATTTGAACAACAGAATCATAAAATAAGAAAAAAAATACACGTCAAAAAAAATACATACTATTATTATGCATGCAGTATTATAACAATATTGAGAGACTACAGAGATTAAAAAAGTCACATGCCACAGTCATTTAAAATCAAGTCAAAATGTGGTTAACAACGGTGAAAAACTTAAGAAAAAGGTGACCTAAGTTTTACATTTCCTCTAAAACTCGCCTGAAATTTATTAAAAATTAACATATAAATGTACTATATGTGAGTGTAGAATTAATCATAACTAACATTTTGTTTAAGGAAGAATAAGGCTGTTGGATTAATACTTATTGGATACAAATGAGCACATTTATTATTAAAATACATTATTATTATTAGTAGTAGTAATAATAATAATAATAATAATATCTATTAAACGTTAAGTGATTGTTTTACTTATTTTCATCCAGGAATCTGTATAATAGCGGGTACATTTAAATTTTAAATAACTCTCTCCAGAACACACGGTGGCAGGACAACATATGAATCCTGAGCCTCAGCCGTAGGCGAATTGGTGGGTTTACTATGGCGAAGACAGAGCTCATTAATTTTCTTTTCATCGTGCTGACGTCAACTCGCCGAGTTCTTGAAGCGCTTGCTGACGAAAAGTATTTAATATTCCAATATCAGTCTTTTGACAAATCAGATTGGCGTACTGGCCGAACGTCACGTTGCCTAATTAATATTCATGAGAAAGGCCTTCGCCGTAGTAGGAATCGATGGGATGGGATTTGGGACATTGTGAATATGGCGGCTGCCTTGGAAAATGAATTGGAAGTAGATAACGAAGATTATTATTCCCTGCTCAATGTCAGGAGAGAGGTAAGAAAGTGGATATGTTTCTAAGAGGAGCATAATTCATCTGCATTGTCGAGCTCTGCACAAAATGAAGACAGCCATGCAATTTCTCTTATTAGGTGATACTGTCCTGTAACAGAGATTCATACAGCTGTCATGGCATACTATTACGTGCCGGTTGCATTGAGCTCGTAACGTACTCGTTGATCTGACGTTTCAACTGTCAAATTGCTTTTATATCAGCCATTCTGGGTGATGTTTATTAATATTTTGCATGTACGTACGTAAAATGCGCATGACTGGAGCTTATCTCAGAACCCATTCACTTAATATTAATATTAAAAAGCAGTACTTACTATTAACCCAATAAACATCGGCTAAATAAAACCGTTTAATGTATAATTTATTAAATTACACCTACCAACCTCAATAAAAAATTCTGCTCGCTCTTCTGCTCGACCGGTATTTCCAATGAGCCTCAAACTCTGAGGATGTAACGGAAATGTTGGCGTTTGAGTTTAAATGGAAAAGCGCGCCAACGCGCAGTCTTTCCTGAGCATGACAGCCAATCGGAAGCCTGTTATCAAGGTGTGGCTGAACCAATTAATTTAAATATTCAAATTATGTTGACTCTGCTTGATAATATGATATCCATCCATCAATCTTTATGTCTGTCATCTACTATTTATCTATCTTATGGTCCACAGGCTACTCAAGACGAGGTGAAGTCGTCGTACAGGCGTCTTTGTATGCTGTACCACCCTGACAAGCACAGAGACCCCGAGCTAAAGAGGCAGGCTGAACAACTCTTCACTTATGTACACCAAGCATATGAGGGTAATTATTATAACTGTCCCCAGAACTAATATGACAATTTACAGTATACAGATTAAATCCAAAAATAGCCAAGGGTTTATGTAGCTCTTCCATACAAGGAAAGTTCATAGTTACCACAAATAAAGAAAGTCATGCAGATTTGGAATAGCATGAGGGTGAATGTTTGTAATTTTTGGATAAAGTATTAGCCTAATTTAATTTGTACTTAAAAGGGTTGTGATAGATAATCAACAAAAACACTGAATACCGACTTAGAGCCATATTTGTAAAACTTATAAACTATTTTAGTTTTTAGAACAGTAGATGCATCCTAATTCACATACTTATGCACTATTCTATGCTGTTTTGTAGTATAAATAGTGCAAGTAGTGTGTTCACAATAAAAATTCTTTAAAGAAGAAGTGCACTTCAAATGGAGTGCTGCAGCCGTGACGTCAAAACCCGGAAGACTAATTTGCCACTGGTTCCCTCAAGATTTTTTACTGTGTCACAATTTGCATACTTATACTATGTCCTAGAAGTATGTACTCTTTTTGTGAAGAAAAATACATACTTTTGAGTATGTAGCAGAATAGTAGGCAAGCTTTGGGATATACTACTTTCGGCATAACTGTCGGTGCGTCCGAAATTGCATACTGTCTGAATATATGATAGTTTGTAATAAGTATCCACATAAGAATGTTTTGGGTGTGAGTGTGTGCAGTCAGCAAGTTATGTTTACCACAGACATTATTTTACTCATGAATGAAAAAAAAAAGTTATAAAAATCCATAGGAAAATCTTGAGGGAACCCATGGAGTCTTCTAAGTTTTGACATCACAGCAACATACAGCACTCTATACATGAATTATGCAACTTAAAGCTGCAGTCCGTAAGTTTTGCCTCTTTGTCGCCGTCTCTGTTTGAAAACCTGCAATTTCAGCTATTTGCGGAATTATCTTCTTTGCGTGGGTTGTGCACCAGCACGGCTGAATCTAATGTGTGGCTCTGTTTTTATAGACTGTAAAAAAAAAAATTTAAAAAAAACTTTTTTTTACTGCTTGAGTTTTGACTCAAGTCGCATTCGTTTACATGGAGAGGGCGGGGTTTATGACCTGTACTGCAGCCAGCCACCAGGGGGCGATCAAAGAGCCCGCAGCTTCACTTTTCAAGACTTGTAAGGCACACCCGGTGGCTCTCAGTCACCGCACCGGTGTGGACAGGGCCGCATTAAGACCGCACTGGGCCCCGGGGCTATGACTTACTGCAGGGCCCCCCCAGGCCCACCTTTTAGCTCATATCACATCAAAAAACCGTGCCAATTATTATTATTGTTATACTTTGTTTTCAAACTCAATCCGCCATTTATTCCAGCTGCTGTGAGAAAAGGCTATATACGATCCGTCACCTGTAGCATCCTCACGTGCGATATAGCATACTAGCCAGGACAACTTCTTTATGTTTACAGACGTGACGTAATGACACAGCGCCATGCTCGAATTTCCCGCGAAAACCTACCCGTACCACTCAAATTAGAAAACTTTATTACAAGCTTACCGTTGTGATTCGAGCTAAAGTAAGGCGATAGTTTTGAACACTGGGCTGGTTATGTACTTGCTCAAAGATTGATTTTGGATAATTTTTAAACAAAAAAGTTACGGACTGCAGCTTTAAATAGGTGTGTAATGTTGGACGCTTCATGAATTTAACAGTGGGCAAAATGGACGTCTGAATGTCACACGATAGACAGTAAAGTGCCTAGTGCATTGTATATAATGTGTCCAAGTGTATTTGAAACATAATTGATATTTGTAGTCCAAAAATATTTTTTTTTATTTGACTTTCATTATTTGACCTCTGCTTAGTTCTCAGTGACCCACAATCCCGAGCCATATATGACATATTTGGGAAAAAAGGCCTAGAGGTGGAAGGTTGGGAGGTTAGTTTTGATTTTCCACATTTATTATAACAAATATTTGTATTACTGTTTGTTGCTGTGGTGCATGTGATACTAATGTCACGTCTGCTTGCTTGATCCCTGATATCTTTAGGTGGTGGAGAGGAAAAGGACCCCAGCAGAGATCAGGGAGGAATATGAACGTTTACAGAGGGAGAGAGATGAGAGGAGACTCCAGCAGAGAACAAACCCTAAGGTGGACATTCCAGACCAAAATGACAGCGGGAGATAATGACAAGACTAGTTTTTATTTCCTAAAATGCAGTTTTATTTCACTGAATCTCCCAGTTTTGTTGTGTTCCAACTGATGTAATTTCGAAGATTCAATATGCCAGTTTGTTTAGAGGCCAGATAATAGCAGTCAAATCTTTGCTTTATTGCTGAGGTTGATTGTTGAGAAACCGAAATTTGAGGACAGCTTTCTTGATTGGTTTTCTGTCTTCTCTTTTTGGATGACTGCATATCTGGTTTGCACGTTGTAATTTATCAAGAAAGTTTGTAACACCGGGTCTATAAAAAGTCAAATTTAAGGCCATAAAATATCTTAAATGGTATAACAAAAGTATTAAAGGGGTCATATGAAGCTATTTCAATTTTTCCTTTCTCTTTGGAGTGTTACAAGCTCTTGGTGCATAAAGAAGATCTGTAAAGTTGCAAAGACTAAAGTCTCAAATCCAAAGAGATATTCTTTATAAAAGTTAAGAGTCAACCACGCCTACCTAAAACGGCTCGTTCTAACACGCCCCCACATACCTACGACAGGCCCAAAAAACAGCGTGTTTCTGCTTCCACTCAAAATAGGCAATTTCAAAAGTATATAAATTATCTGTTGAGTATTTTGAGCTGAAACTTCACAGACACATTCTGGGGACACCAGAGACTTATATTACGTATTGTAAAAAGGGGCAAAATATGTCTCCTTTAATTGATTATCATTTTAAAAGGTTTTAATTTTGTTGACAGACAAACATGAATCATGATACAGTCTAATTTGATTATTAGCACTGCATGTTAAAATGAATAAAACATGACACTGGAGCAGATACTACAAGCTCACGGTTTCAGAACAGTTTGATATCAATGTATACCACATATTTTTGAGAAGTGATTTCTTATGATTTACTGGTGATGAAAAAAGTACTGCAGGAGTGATGTATTTTTGTAGACCAAAACCTGTAAATGAGTTTTAGCCCGTCCTGTTCCATTGTTACAAGGTCAATGTTTTTTTTGTTTTTGATTGGGTTTTTGGATAAATTCCTAAAATAACTTCTGTTAACGTAAGCTCAGGATATTTTTGTTTTATTCTGCGACATCAAATACCCAATCACCTTGTTTTTTTTTATTTATTTATTTGTCTTGAAAAAGGAGGTTGCTAACAAGAGGCTAAATGGGACTTCAGAGGCTGTCTGGGACATTAAACATCACGCTGATTCGCTGAACAGGAAAACTCATTTACTCACTAGTCCACTTTCACAGCCTCATTGTGTTTTTAATTGCGCTCTTACAAACTATTCTAACTCAAACTTTAAGGAAAATGTTTTAAAATAAATATGTTGAATAGTGGTGATGTTGAAGTCATGCGACTATGGTGTAATTTGTATTACTGTAGCTTTTTACTTCTGGCGATTATATTTAGACTTGTTGGTCACCGAGCTTATTGTCTGCAATAATCCAAAAGCCAATGGGGAAATTATTTTGGGTTTTTTCCAAGGGAACCAGGTTGATGCTGACTTCCAGGTTGGCCTGCAAAAATACATCACTGCAGGGTTTGTTCTATATGGAAATACAGTCTTAATTTTATTAGCGCAGGTCTGAAAAACGTGTTCAATTTGATTTAAAAACACTGCAGAAACCCTGTAACATCACTTTTTTTATGTCACAGAATTGGTCTAAATGGTGTTTTACTCGTTTTTTTTCTGTTTTCATTCAGGGGACAATAAGTGTTGGCATAGATGCGACAGACCTCTTCGACCGATATGAGGAGGACTTTGAGGATGTACCAGGAGGAGGTTTTCCCCACATTGAGATCGACAGGATGCACATTTCCCAATCCATTGAGGTCAGTATGTACAATTACGAGCATTACGTGATGTCACAATCTCCCTCATGGAAGCCCATTTCTGCCACTGAATAAAAAATAAAAAAGGTAATTATGACCTTTTTCTCTCACAATTCTGACTTTTTTTCTCAAATTGTGAGATATACACTCTCAATTGCGAATTATGAAGTCAAAATTGTGGAATATAAACTCATTCGCAATCTTTTTTTTCCTCAGAATTGGACTTTATAACTGAGATATAAAACTGCAATTGTGACTTCATTCTGACTTTTCTCAGAATTGTGAGATATAAACTCACAATTGCGAGAAAAAAAGTCAGAATTGTGAGTTTATATCACGCAATTCACACCAAGTCAGAATTGTGTGATTTAAATTCGCAATTGCGAAAAAAAAAAAAAATCAGAATTTTGATATAAAAAGTCACAATTACCTTTTTTATTTTTTAGTCTGTTTCCATACTCCCTTGTGCTCTGTAATCCTATATGTTTATGTTTGTCAGGCACCCTTAACCACTTCAGATACTGCTGTACTTTCTGGATCTCTGTCTACACATAATGGCAACGGGGGAGGAAGTATAAACCTTTGTGTGCGGCGTGTGACCTCAGCAAGAGGCTGGGGAGAGGTGAGACTCTTTCCAACACACCACCTTTTTTTTTTTTGGTCTGGTTCTAAAGTTCTAGTTTGTTTGTGTGTCTTAAGCTGGAGTTTGGTGCAGGGGACATTAGAGGACCTTTATTTGGGATGAAAGTGTTCCGTAACGTAACTGCACGCTGGTAGGTGTCTGTCTGTGTATGTTGAGGCTGATTTGTGTTTCTCATTTCTGTGAATCTAAAATCAATTTTGTATCACATAGCTTTGTGACTGCCCAATGGGGATTGCAGTTCTCCTCACGTGGCGTGCGGCCCAGTGCCACTACAATGATGGCCCGCCACTTTGACCAAAACACTATGGGCTACCTGCAGTGGCGCTGGGGAAGCCAGTCTGCCATGACCACCAGCATCGTCAGAGACACCAAAACAAGCCACTTCACCCTGGCCCTGCAGGTGAAGCCTATGCAGGTGTACACTGATGATGGTAATGTGTTTAATTCAAAACAAAGTTAATGCATTAAGAATGCAATCTATCTGTTCTTATTCCTGTTCCTCAGCTGGGCGTTCCTCACTCCTACCTGATGATGAGCTATCAGTACAAATTCCAGGATGAAGACCAGACTAAGGTCAAAGGTTCCATCAAGTATGTATTTTAACTACAGCTTACAATAGAGATGGGCAATCTATATACATTACTGTTCAAAGTGTGTTAAATTATAATGTTTTTGGAAAGAAGTCTCTTATGCTCATCAAGGCTGCTTTTATTTGATCAAAATTAGAGTAAAAATAGTAATATTCAGTCCCTCCAGGATTTCGCGGAGATTTTTTCAGATTTTTGCGGCCTAAAATGACTGATTTTGCTGCAGCTTTTCTCAAAATTTGCAGTGAAAATATACCACAGACAACATTCTTCTAACATTGTTATGACTTTTCTGACTTCGAGAACCATTGTAGGGCTCCAGACTAACATTTGAGGGCACCAGCACCAGTGCCATTAAGTTCTACAGAAGGTGGCACCAGCACCTGACAGTAAAGCACTCACCCTAATCGCACATGTACTCAATCTCGGAGATGTCTATTTGATGTCTGCATTTACATATGCAAGATGTATTTTTTAGAGTGTTTGAGTAGTTGAGAAGATGCAGATAGAATTAACTTTTATTACTGTCATTCATGTCTAAATATAATTTAATAAATACACAATATATATATTAGGGAGTGGAAATGGCCAATAAGCCTATAAGTACTTTTCTGCAGCCATCTACTAGTGGTAATTTAATGTCTTATTTTTTTAAATAATTGTTTGCTTTCCTACATCATGAAACTTTTAGTTTTATAAATGGGGGCAACCTATGAAGGATGAACAAATAATGTAATCATATCTGTAGCTTTAACAGAATTCTGCGCCGAATTTGAATGCTTCTCACAAGATTTCACAGAGAAGTTATTGATTCTGCGATGAATTCGACTACTTTCTTCACTGTGTTGTGTGATCGAGATCAGCCCGAGAAGATAAACGGTCTGCGCTTTGTAGCCCAAACGAGTAGCGCGGATTCGTTCCGCTTTCAGTTCATTTGTCCAATGTAGCTCTTGTAAATCGGTCATGATGAGAACGCAAGGCTGTTCATTCCATTTTTGGAACTGAGAACAACCTTTCTTTGACCGAATGCGCGTTGCGATGGCGTCACAGGACGCGTAAATGCCCAAAATCTGCGGAAAATCGGCGGCAATTAAGAAAATTTGCGAGCTCTTGCGAAAATTGCGGAGTTTGCTTGATTTTGCATTAAATTCAGCGATCGCAGGATCGCAAAATCCTGGAGGGACTGAATATTGTGAAGTATTATTACAATTTTAAAATATGTTTTGTTAAAAATAAAAAATGTTTTCTGTTAAAATATATTTTAATGTAATTTATTCCTGTGCTGCAAAGCTAAATTTTTCTTAAGTCTTCAGTGTCACATGATCCTTCAGAAATCATCCTAATATGCTGATTTGCTGCTCAAGAAACATTTCTTCTTATTATTATTAATGTTGAAAATATATATTTCTAATGATAGGATCATCATTTTTGGTGAGTAGATTCATGTTTAAAGCAATAAAATAGTACAAATTTAGACACTGTTTTTCAGTAAATTATAAGCAACATTTAATCATTTTATCTCTATGCACCAATAAAATAATACAAAATAATAAACAATATCTACCTTTATATATATTTTACAAAACGTTTAGAAGCATGTAAAATACAACACACACTTTTGAATGGTTGTGTGATCCAATTGTTGAATGTGTTGAAACAGACAAGTACTTTGAAACTTGAAACTGACAAGTACTTTAAAATCACTGCAAAGTTTATGTTGTTTAATAAAAAAAAAAAAAGTAAATTAAAATAAAGAAGATTTGCTGCTCAAGAAACATTTCTTCTTATTATTATTAATGTTGAAAATATATATTTCTAATGATAGGATCATCATTTTTGGTGAGTAGATTCATGTTTAAAGCAATAAAATAGTACAAATTTAGACACTGTTTTTCAGTAAATTATAAGCAACATTTAATCATTTTATCTCTATGCACCAATAAAATAATACAAAATAATAAACAATATCTACCTTTATATATATTTTACAAAACGTTTAGAAGCATGTAAAATACAACACACACTTTTGAATGGTTGTGTGATCCAATTGTTGAATGTGTTGAAACAGACAAGTACTTTGAAACTTGAAACTGACAAGTACTTTAAAATCACTGCAAAGTTTATGTTGTTTAATAAAAAAAAAAAAAGTAAATTAAAATAAAGAAATTTGTTCGTCTACCCTGACAGCTCATTGTCTTTGTATTCAACAGGACTGGGTTCTTTGGCACCTTGGTTGAATATGGTGCAGAGCGTAAGATTAGTCGCCACAGTGTTGTGGCTGCAACCGTCAGCATTGGTGTACCCCAAGGAGTCTCCCTCAAAATCAGGTTAGCACTGACTTGAGCTTAACCGCAATAAGCACAGCGCAGCAGAACTCAGGCTGCTCGTGGGTGGTCTATTTATGATGGTCATTTTCTTCTCTCTACAGGTTGAACAGAGCCAGTCAAACCTACCTCTTCCCTATTCACCTAACCGACCAGATTTTACCCAGTGCTGTGTTTTATGTCACTGTGGGCCCGCTGGCCATCTACTTAGCTGTCCAGAAGCTTATTATTATGCCTTATGTACGAGCCCAGAAGGAACAGTGAGTTATTATCCATAATTATGGCTCTGAAACCACCCGTTTTGCTGAAACCCATCTTTACATTACCACAGTTTCTTTGATGAAGGGCCCTGACTGTTTGGTTGTTTATAGGGAGTTGGAGAAACAGAAGGAGGTTTCTGCTTCAGAAATTGCTCGCAGGAAGCAAGAGGCTGAAGCTGCTGTGAGTAAAATAAATACATAGACAACAATGACTATCTCCCTCTTACCAACACAAACAACCATTTATCAGGGTAGATATGTTGTTTTCTTGTGTTACTGTTTCTTTGGTTTTCAGGTTTTGCTGATGCAAGAGTCAGTGAAGAGAATTATTGATGCTGAGGAATCTAAAATGGGTTTGTGAAATGCAGATGCACTTTTTTGTTTGCTTTTTTATACATATATACTCTTTGGACAGCATCTGTGATATACTGGCAATTATCACCATTCCATTCATTTTAAAAACAAACAAAAATAGCTTCTTACACGGCAGTAATTAAAGTATATGTACTGTATATAAATAAGTATAGCCATAAAACTTTAAATATATAACTAAGCACTTTTTTTCCTCAAAAACGGAAAAATCTTCAATTTTGTTTAAAACAAAAAACTAAAATCAAATCACAAAAATGGGAAAAAGGGGAAATTCATTGGTCAATAAGTACAGGAACCATGGTATTCTTACTGCTAAAAACTTCACAGATCAAAAAAATACTTTTGTTTGTCAGAAATTAACAAAAGTTGTACATTTTTGGTTTTAAATCCTCTGGACCACTTTCTACTGAAGGTACATTACTGTGAAATTGAGTGGAAATACTGATGGTAGTCAGCAGCCGGCTACACTTTGCTGTCAGTAACATGGAACATTTCTTTAAGTGAACAATGTTTTATGTGATGTGATTCATATGTTTTTATTCTAGGTCTCATCATTCTAAATGCTTGGTACGGCAAATTTGTGTCCGACAATAGTCAGAAACGCGAGAGTGCGAAGGTCATTGATGTGACCGTCCCGCTCCAGTGCTTAGTGAAAGACTCTAAACTCATTCTTACCGAAGCATCAAAGGTTAGACACGCAAACATCTACCGGTGCTTTACATCAATGAGCTGCTTAAACACCTGCCAGGTGCTTTACATGAATTAGTTCTGTCTCATGTTAATCAGGCTGGCTTGCCAGGGTTTTATGACCCCTGTGTCGGAGAGGAAAAGAGCCTAAAGCTGCTGTACCAATTCAGAGGAGCCATGCACCAAGTCTTGTCCGGAGACACAGAGCCTCTTAAGATACCTAAACAATGTGAGTACCGCGGAAACAAGCTGGGAATGTCGCTTGGCAATAAAAATACCAATAAAAGGCTGAACAAAATATTTAAAAAAATATTTACATATTTTGTACCAATATATTTTTTGGCCATTTTTAATATATATATATATTTTTTTACTATTTATAAAGTATTTAAAATATATATATTTTGCCCTCCTTATATTTCAAGAAAATACATTCACATATGTCATATTTGAAGAAACACTGGACATAAAACATATATGCTAGTACTGTTCTATCCACATTTGCCTCTAAAATACAATTTAAAATGTAACTTTGGTATATAAAGGTTGAAACTAAATGTATTTTCAAATATATATATATATATTTATTTACGTTACAACATTTTACATATACAACATTTATTTAGCATATATTAAAAAAAAAAAAAACAATTGGCCAGAAAATGTTTATTTTATTTTATATTTTTGTCATATGGGTCAAAAAGACAGTTAATTCAAATATGATCTAAGGAAAGTTTTTTTTTTTTTACTTTTTTCATTCAGGTCATAGAATTGATTCAGAGGCATAGGAGTCTACCACACACTAGAAGAAAGAGCTCAATGGACATCAAAGGAACATAAAGGGTCAGTCAGACATCAAGCGATCCGAAGGGCTGCTCCTCTTCATTTCATGTAGTCACCCATGTATCACCTTTGTGTTGTCTGTTTATCTCAAATCCCTGACATATATTGTCAATGGGTCGATCACGTCCTAACATCTCCTTAAGATCTGGATATGAGAGGAGGTCAGATGTCATATCATATCACTCCATCCATTAATCTTAATCAATGTTAATATTACAACTGGAAAGTATGGCAATAAAAGCTCCTCTAACAAAACTGTACTTGAAAAGTATGGTTCAAACTGTAATGAAGTGCTGTACAAATGCTGGTTTCATAGGATGTGTTGATATCGACGGATGTTTTTGTATGTTTGTACACTAGGCTTAAGAACGGGAAATCTTATGCTCACCCTGCCTCCAAAATCACTACTGTAGAAGCTGCTTTTTAGTGGACCAATCTGTTGTGACCAGAGGATCATGATTTCATTTTCCTCCAGGAGAAGTGTTATTTGGATTGCATTCATCATGTTAAGTATATACAGTAAAGTACCGTTTTTGTATTTTAAGGTGAATCTCAAAGAAATGTTTGGGTCATATTTTGCCTGAGAATGAAAAAAAAAGAAAAATAAATGAAAATGTATTAAATCACTTTGACTATTTTAGCACAATCAGGATTTTTTTTGTTTTTTTGGCATTTTTATGACAATTGAGCATATTATATAAAATAAAAAAACTAATTACTGTAATGTAAAATATTCAGTTCTGTGATATATGAAAATAAAAAAAATGCATTAAATTGATTTATTTAAAATGTGCATCAATGATCATGATATATTGTGTATTATTGTAGCTTACTGACAATTTGAGGAAAAGGTTTAAACATACTTCCAAGAAAACTTGAAAAATAGGCAAAAAAAAATGTATGCAAACCGTTTTTATGGGATTCACCATTCACCTTCAGTCTGTAGTCAAGCCACATCAAAGATAGTTGTACAGTATATTCTCCAAATTTAAAATCCTTAATGAAGTCCGCAGTATTACATAGTCAGAGGTCCAGTGAATCGGAAAAAGGACAGGCTGTTGTTTTTGTTTAGCTTGTCGTTCTTAGCATCTGGATGTTTGCTTTGATAGCAACTTTCTCCTGCTCAGTTTTCTTAAGTTTTAATGACTTGAAATGTCAGCAGCAGTGCTCAGACTGAACCAGTGTAAAACTACAATGCCTTTTGGATACTGATTATGGGGGTTAAGCAGAGTATGAAAGCTCTATGTTCAGAACAACATGATTTTATTTAAAGATCCATTATTTCAAATGATCCTAAAAAGTATCCACCGAAGCATTGTGCCATGCCCATTTTGTTTTTATTTTTAATTGTTTTATTAGAGCTTTTGTCAGTAAGTGGGCAGTGCCTACGTGATTTGAGTCTGTAGTAGATGTTTATTTGTAACCGTCTTGCAGTTGTACCTTTCATCAGGGCTATAAGGGGGGGGGGGGGGGAAA